AAATAGGTATTTCTAATGCCTTTTTTTTTTTTCTTCTGAAAATTTTTTTTTTTTATTAATTTACATTCATTCCCTGAGCATCATCACAACATTCTAAATGTGGTTTCCCATCTAGAATATACTATATAGTGGCTTAATAATGCATGTTATCATCCATAATATTCCATTTCTACTTTCATATATATGTTTTTTTACCCCATGTCTAGCCCTCTGCCCTATTCCACTCTCTTATTACACTATCTCTGCTGTCTACAGTTGTCTTCAATCCCTTTTCCCCCAACATTTCGTTGGTCACACAATATCATAAGTAATCTAACTACTTTCAATAGCAAGATCAGCCGATGGTTTCAAGAAAAGCAGTTTTGAACTGGTAAGGATATTTCTTTGAAACTTAAAGCCTAGAAACAGGTTAGTATTCTGTTCAAATAGTCGGAACATGAATCTATTGATAGCTGAAGACAGGACAAAAGTCCTTAAAACCAGACAACAAAGCTTAGAAGAAAAGCAGCAATATTTTAGTCAAGTCGTAGAATACTGTTTCATCAGTTCAGTCTCATGTACTTAATCTTTCTTCTGTATCTGTTGAGGTTCGATGTTCCAGATTGAAATCTGGGATGTAATACTCAACTCCAGCTTTTGGCCCTACAATTAAGTTGCCCATTTTCTTAGTTTCTGAACTCTTATTTCTGTGTGTCTGCATTTAATTTTACTGACATAGCACTCCCTTAAGAACTTCTTGGAGATCCGGTCTGGTGCTGGTAAATTCTTTCAGGTTTTGTTTATCTGGGAAAGTTCGTGTCTTTTCTTCCCAAATGAACGATAACCTTGCTGGGTACAGAATTCTCGGTTGAAATTGCTTTTCCCTTAATACTTTGAATACATTTTCCCATTCTCTCCTCGCTCTCATTGTTTCCGATGAGAGGTCTGCCGTTAGTCTGATGGGATACCCTTTGTAGGTAACTTGCCTTTTTTCTCTTGCCAGTCTTAGTATCTTGTCTTTGTCTGTGGTTTTGGTCAATCTGGCTATAATGTGTCTTGGAGAAGATCTTCTTGGGTTGATTCTATTTGGGGTCCTCTGTATTTCTTGGGACTGAATCTTTGAGTGCCTCTCCAGGTTTGGAAAATTTTCTTGTAAGATTTCATGGAATAGATTATCAATGCCCTTATGAGTCTCTTCACCTTCTGGGATGCCTATTATCCGGATGTTTGGACGTTTGATGGTATCTAGTACTTCTCGCATATTATTCTCAAATTTTTGGGCCATTTTCTCAGTCTTCGCGGTGGATTTTTCTAGGCCAACCATTTTCTCTTCTACATTAGAGATTCTATTTTCTGTATGATCTAGTCTGCTTTTAATACTTTCAAGGGAGATTTTGACTTCTTGTATTATAGCCTTCATCTCTAACAGTTCCATCTGATTCTTTTGTAAAGTGTGAAATTCCTCTTTTAGATATTGCATGAATTTCCTCACCTCCTGGAACTCTTCAACTCCTTTCTCCTTCCTCTTCAGCAGTTCCCTGTCTCTCTTCTCTTTCATCTCTGCAAGCTTTGCCATTATGAATGTTCTGAATTCTTTATCAGACATTTCCATGACTTCCATTGAACTGTGTGTGGATGAAGAGGAGTTATCCTTTTCCTTTGAAGGAGAGGTATTTTCCTGCTTCCCCATATTTCTTGTGGTCCTGCAGCGATTTCTAGTCATCTGGTGGATGGTCAGTTTCTTCCCAAACTTGGAAGTTCAATCACCCGAGTTTTCTATGCTGGAGGCCGAATTATCAGTGGGACCTCTTCATTTCTCAGTTTCCCCCAAAATGGCTAGATCGCAGGAGCCATGGAACGGTTTCATGAAGAAGGCCTGTTCTGTTCCCTTCCGCCTCTCCACACGAGTTTTGTATGCTGGAGGGACCTCTTCATTTCTCTGTTTCCCCTAAAATGACTAGATCCCAGTCACGCTTATTTTTAAAGGAGCTTGGCTATGTCAAGAAGAATGAGATGAGGCAGTAGCTAAAAAATGTTTGTAGGATTTTTGTTTTAGTTTGATAATAAGCTATTAGGCAGATTCAATAAAGAGGTAATGTTTAAAAGTGAAAGTGATGGAGAGGAGAGAGCTCGTAGAGGTTCTCGAAAATATGGGAAGGGATGGGATGAGCACAAAGAATTGGTCTTGAAATAAGTTGTCACGTTTAGTGAGTATCAATTAAGTGTCAGCTGTATTCCTGGACAGTGTGCTAGTGTTTATGGGAGGAGAGATGCACAGAGAAAGGAAGAAGTGAGAGTGGATGTAGTTTGGGTGGTGAAAAGATAAGGGAGTTCAAAGCCTAAGAGGTGGGTAGGAATAAAAGTCAGCTCATCAGAGAATAGATTTGGGTTATGAAAGAACCATGGCAATTTGGAATAACCACTGTGGAAAAGAAACTAAGCTAGTACATGTAAGAATTGTTTCATTGAGTTAGATTAGAATTAGTAGTTTCCAGGGCTGGCAGGTGGCATGGTGGTTAAGGTGCTAGACTCCCACATGGCTGACTGAGGTTCGAGTCCTGGATATGATGGCTTGCTTTCTCACTCCCCCCAAGCCCTGGTCAAATGAAAAAATAACAATAAATAAAATAAATCAGTTTTCAGTGATAGTAAAACATGAGACTATATGCTTTTTCTCCTTAAATTTTTATTGATTTATTAAGGGAAAACTTAAGCCTAGTGGAATGTTTGCTGAAGAGAAGAGAATCCAGGCCAAAACGTTAGATGTGTGCATTTAATTAATAATTATTGTTTTAGGACCAGCAGTTGGCATAATGGCTATGTCGCTGGACTCCCATGTAGTTGACCGCTATTCGAGTCCCTGACCCAGTGGCTTAAACTCATGCCAGGCTTGTGTGCGTGTGTGCCCAAGATCCTAAGAGGAGAAAGGAGGAGAAGGGATTGTGGTGTGGCCATTCCCTCTGGAGGGTGATTTCTCGCTTTCTGTCTCTGTCTCTCCATCTTTCTGGTGAGTACATGCATCCTATAGCAAAAACCTCTCTAAAAAAAAAAAAATTCTCTTTCAAGTAACTGTAAGACCCTTACAGGATAGGTGTTTTGGATTAATACTTTATTTTCTCAACATTTACAGTGATTTTTATTTTTAATTTGCTGCAAGACATGTGTGCTTGCCAGAGAAAGGGGGGGGGGGAGAGAGAGAGAAAGCACCCCCCAGGGGCATGGCTATGACACACAGTCCCTTCTCATCCATCTTTCCCTCCTTTCAGGAGTTTGGGCATTCACAAAGGGACACGTGCTTGGCAGGATTCTCGAGCTGCTGGGTCCTGGACTTAAACTGTGCAGTCAGTTATGTGGGCTGCATTCTCTGTAACCACATGCCACTGGCTGGTCCTGTAATGGTATTCTTTATAGAGAACATTTTCCTGAGTACCATTTATTGAATGTGCCATAGCAGGAGTCAAACAAATCTGTTGTCTAATTCTGGAACTCATGCTGTACGATCATAGGCAAGTTTTCAAACCTGTGCTCCTATCTCATGAAAGGTGTGTGTTAATACTATCTATTTTATGTGATTTGGGGAAGATGAAACAGTTTAATGGAGGTAAAGCCTAAGCAGGTACTCAGTAACTGAAAGCATTTCTCTTCTCCTTCTGCCCCTTCTTTACTGACAACGTGGCAGGATTGTCAGTTCTGTCTGACAGAAAAGCCATGTTCTGTGACTTTACCTGTCCACGTTAGGCAGGTAGATCAGGTAGTAAACATTACAAAATTATAATTTAGTACTTAAAAAAATACTTTATTTAACTTTATTTATTTATTTTAATTTGACCAGAGAGGAACAGGGAGTGAGAGAAGCGAGAAGAGAGGGAGAAAGCAAGCCGCCAGGTCTGGGACTTGAACCCTGGTCAGCCATTTGGGAGTCTGGTGTCCTTAACCACAACATCACCTGCTGGCCCCATAATTTAATACTTTAAAAGGATTAATCAATTATTCTTTTAAATGAAGTTTCCTTAAATGCTATGAAATGTTATTTTGTAGGCCATTTGATAGGGTGATGTTGTGAAATACACATTTGGTCTTCATCCCACTTCCCTGACATACAAGTCCTAAAATGTTGGGAATTTTTAGGACTAGCCTTGGTAGTGTGAGCAAGAGGTTACAGGTTTGCCTTGGCTGAAGCCACATGGTGGGTTTGGTTTCTGGACTAATAGAATGAGCACAGTGGCATGCCTGTGGTCCTAGTTATCTGGGAACCTGGGGCAGGAAGATTAGGACTTGGTAAGACTCTTGTCAAACATACCCCTTTTTATTTCCCTTCCTGCACTTTTCTTAAAAAAAAACTTTGTGAGCAAGAGGTTACAGGTTTGCCTTGGCTGAAGCCACATGGTGGGTTTGGTTTCTGGACTAATAGAATGAGCACAGTGGCATGCCTGTGGTCCTAGTTATCTGGGAACCTGGGGCAGGAAGATTAGGACTTGGTAAGACTCTTGTCAAACATACCCCTTTTTATTTCCCTTCCTGCACTTTTCTTAAAAAAAAACTTGGGCATCTTCGCACCCCTTTTTACTCCCCTTCCTGCACTTTTCTTAAAAAAAAACTTGGGCATCTTCAAAGTGGTAAGTCTTTTGGTATGCTCATGAGTTGACTGCTGGCTGGCCACCCCTAGGTAGTTTTAGGCTGGGACTGGTTAGCAGAGAGACTTATGGCAGGATTAGAGGGTTGGGTCTTTCAGCCTAATTTGCCAACCCCAGGAAGGGGAGGGGCTGAAGGTTAAGTTGATAACCAGGGGCCAATGATTTAATTAGTGGTGCTCATGTAATGCAGCTTCCATAAAGACCCAAAAGGGAGTTTGCAGAAAGCTAAACAGAAAGTGAACAAAACGATACTTATGTGCAGGGAGATTGCCGTACCCCAGCTCCAGGGAAGGGAAGCTCTTGGGTATGAGATCCTTCCAGATCTCTTGCTCTCTGTCTCTTCATCGGACTATTTATTTGTATCCTTAAAAATACCTCTTTTTATAGTACACCAGTAAACATAAGTAAAAGTTACTCTAGCAAATTAACTGAGCCGGAGAAAGGGCTTTGGGAACCCGGATTTATAACCAATTGATCAGAAGTTCTGGAGGCCTGGACTAGTGATTGGCATCTGAAGTGGGGACACTCTACAGCCTGTGGGATCTTATGCTCTCTTCAGGTAGGTAGTGTCAGAACTGAATTGGAGGATTCTCAGCCGTGTCCACTGAAAAATTGGTTGGTGTGTGGGGGAAAATCCCTACACATCTGAGGTCACAGGAGTATTTTGTGTTGTGAGAGTAGAGAAAATACTATTTTTGGACTCAAATAGTAATATATTTTTGCCACAGTTTAATTTGCAAAGAAGCAGTCAGTTTTACTGGATAATTTGAGATACCAGTAGCTCTAGAATAATTTGATTCTGTGACTATAATTAACCTCTATACTGATATACTATGATTGAACTGTTATAGAGCATCACTTTGTAAGTGAAAATACATGTATAACTTAATATACTCAGCATTATTTTAAATGTGTTTCTCAGCACTTGTAACTGTGGTTATGTGGATAAACCTAGAGAAATTATGCCTTAGAATACCTACTTAAGAGTCAGGTATATATACAGATGTAGGAGCAAAGGCATTAGCCCCCTGACGTTCACTGAAAATCACTGACGATAGACAGATTAATAAGAGAAAAGCCATACTGGTTTATTTGAACACAGGCATATGTACATAGGAACCATACAAAAGTATAGCTTAGAGAAAAGCCAGGTACCTGAGGTTTTATACTGTGTACACTTGAAGATCAGTCATGATATGGAGAGAGGAGAAAAATGCAAAAATTATCCTGTTTTTCTGGATCAAATGTCAGACCTCTAATGTCCTTCCTCTGCCTAACAGGCCAAGGAACAGCTTGCCTGCTTACTGTAGTTGGAAATTTCCTTCACGGAAGGTTAGCAAGTTAATTTTTGTGTCTGCAGGTTCTCTCAATAGTGATCTCAAAAATACGCCAAAGAAGTGTATTTTGGGCTACATCTTGGCTCTTAGCACTGGTATTTTCCAGTAACATTTAAGGTATAGATCGTAATAGTAGTTAATTAGTTAAAAACAAAAAACAAAAAACAAAACTGGAGTAATTTTCCAAGTTGGGCTTAATGTCCACTGGATGTATTTAAATATGAGAGAACTTCAAAAAGGTTGTGTAAAATGGAATTAAAGTGAGTTTATTTTGGTGCAAAAAGTTGAAATACATTCAAATTTTTTCCTACACATTTTCCACGAACTTTTTGGAGACACCGCTTTTGTTTCTATTATTAGGGATGGTTTCATTGTGGTCCTACTTGAAGGAATAAATCCCCCCCTTTTTTTTTTTTTTGCTCTAGGGCATATATGCTTGCAGAAAGAGGAAGAGAGAAAGAGAGAGACAAAAATCACTCCCCACAGCGGGGGATGGCCATGCTACAATCCCTTCTCCATTCTCCTCTTGGGATTTTGAACATGGTTTTCAAACCACTGGGTCCAGTACTCAAGCCAGCCAGTTGGCCATGTAGAATCCAGCAACCTTAGCATCCATGCCACTGGCTGGCTCCACAAATTACCTTTTAATTCCGTTTGTAACTATTTTTGTTCATTAGTAATTATTAAAAGCATCTATTAAGTAGGATTTTAAAGTGAACTTTAATTTGAAATGTTTATTCATTTTACTATTTTTTAAAATTAGCATTTTTTTCTTTATGTGTGCATGAAAGCAAGAGAGAGGGAGAGAGAAGAACACTCTTCAGCGGTCTGGTCACACAGTGATCCATTCTTCCAGTTTCCCAGCCGTCTTTGGATCTTAGTTGGGCGCTCTAGTGTTTCAGGCAGACTGGGCGGGAATTCAAAACTGAGGTCACCATGTTGTATCTGTCTTCTTTTGAGCAGTGCTTTACTTCTGCACCATGGGGTCAACCTGTGAACTCTTTATTCTAATATTCTTTTGGTATAAAGCTATCTTTGGTAAACACTTTATAGTTTTTAGTAATGTCTAAGAATTGTTTTTATGTTTTTAGAGAGCTTTATGTTTAGTTACTGACTACCAATTGTACGGTAATTACTTCACAAGGTATCCTGGAACTCTTTAGAACAGTTTTATGGACTGTAAACATTGTGTGTCTCCATGTCAAACATTGCATCTAATTTTTTACTTTTTTTTTTTTAAGTTTTGCTACAGTGCACATGAACTCACAGGAGAAAGAGAGAGGAGAAAAAGGAGAGAGAGAGAGAAGTCACTTTCTGGGAGGATGGCCATACCACAATCCTTTTTCTCCTTTGTTCTCCTCTCAGGATTTTGGGCACACATACACCTGTCATGTTTTTTAAGCCTCTGGGTTCAGGACTTGAACTATGTAGTCAGCCATGTGGAATCCAACTGCCTTAACCACCATGCCACTGTTTTAAAGATACTGTGGAATTCAATTCATGGAAGGAAATTATTGCAATGGTTACTTTTGAGAAACATTTAAGCTCTTAGAACCATATGTCTAGACTTTTTTTTTTTTTTTAAATAGAGGTTTTTACCATAGGGTAAGTGCCCTCGCTGGAGAGAGAGAGGCAGAAGGAAAGTGAGAACTCACCCTCCATGCTGCAATCCCTCCTCCTCCATTCTCCTCCTGGTCTCTTGGGCACACACACACACACACACACACACACACACACACACACACACACCGCATGAGTTTTACGCTACTGTGTCTGGGACTCAAACTGCGGTCGGCCATGTGGGAGGCCAGTGATATAACTACTACGCCATCTGCTGGCCCCTGTGTTTAGATTCTTTTGTGTTCCATGGCTATTTTCCTGTTTCTAAAGTATTTGAGATGTGAACTCAGAAAAATAAATAAATGAAAAGTCTTCTTTGCTACAGACCTTCTTCTGTTATCTCTGGTTTTATAATTAAGTTATATTAATTATTATTATATTAACTATTCACGACAAGCTACAATTCTTGTGAATGTTACCCAACATAAGAGATGGGAAGTATTGTGATTTTCAAAGTTAACTATGATGGTGGTGAGTACTTATTTAGTAGGTTAATTTGCCATTATTAAAACATACTTAACGCATTACTTTGAGAAGTTGTTACATGTTTTCTTAATTGCTTATATTTGTAGCAGTTATGAATAAACTGGAATTTAGAGATTTGGAAAAACTTAAAATGTAAAGTCTGTATTTACAAATTTGTTGGTAGATTTCAGTATGACACAAGATGGTGCATATCAGATTACTGTGTTTTTCTCTTCGGTGACTATTCTTTCCCT